TTTCCGCAGTTTGTAAGGACTTTTAGGGGCTGCCGCCCCTTTCTCCGAAAGAGAGTCCTCTCTGGAAGACCCCGAGTCCAGCTCGCCACTGGACTTACTGTCCTTCTCCTCTTTCTCCACCTCCTCTGGCTCTCCCAACTGGATTCTCAGAAATTCCCGTGCTTTGTAAACAGAGTCAATCTTTTCTTTTTTATCCTGAAGTTTGAAGGTTATGCCTTCTGGAATTAGCCACCTGTACGCTATTGCATTTGTTTGAAGAAAAAGGATTAAATCTTTGTATTTCTTTCTCCTTTGTCTTATTTCAAATGGGATATCATTCAAGATCCTGATAGTATTGTCCCCAATTTTCAAAGGTGACCCAGCTGTCACTCTCAGGATTGAATCTCTCATGTGCCTCTTCGAGAATCTTATTACCAGAGGTCATTTCGGGGGGGAACGCGGGGGAACGCAGTTCCCCCAGGTGAGGTACATGGGGCGGGGCACATGACGAAGCCCCGCCCCCTGCTTCCGGCCCACATTCAGTCACGAGGAGGCAGGAGAAGAGGAAGGGTAAGTTGCTTCCTCCCTGCCTCTCCCCACCCCTGCCTGCCTGGGACCAGGGAGGGCCTTCGCGGGGCTTCCTTGCACTCCCGCCGGCCTTGCAGGTCCACCGCCGGGCTAAGGGGCTCAGCAGTGGAGCTGCAAGGTCGGCGGTGGCGGCCGGGATCGTTAGGGGTGGGGTGTGTGGCCTTATGACACATTTCCGGTGATGTCAGGGGGTGTGGCCTTATGACACACTTCCGGTGATGTCAGGGGGTGTGGCATATGCTAATGAGTTATGCTAATGAGTTCTCCTAGCTCTTTTTCTACGAAATGACCCCTGGCCACCACCATCCAGCTTTTATTTATAAGGGAGAAGAGTGTTCTTGATGCGAGCTCCAGAGTGTGCTCAGGTCTCCCTATCCAACTGGTGTACTGAACAAGATTCAAAGTTCTTCCTTTGTAGGATAAAACAGGCAAAGGGTCAGGTCCTGGTATTTGAGGAGGGGGTATTAAAATATTCTGTTCTTCAACATAATTCACCCTACCCTCTGTTTAGAATATATTCCACATCCTAAGAGGGACATGAAGACAACAAACCTTATACACTTTTTCCCTGCAAGATAACATGGCACCAGCCCTTGCAGATTTTGGGTAAGGGTGAAACTAAGGTCTGGAACATTTCTAAAATATAGCAAATCAATCCACAGGATAAGAGACCAATCTTCAGGCTCACTAATCAAAGTTATTGGAAGATCTTAAATCTTTGCTTAAATTCTTAATGGTGAAAGAAAATTCTCTAACATGTTTTTTTGCATTAATAGGGGCAAATTTTTTGCACAGAAATACAACTCGCCATAGTGACAGCAGTCAGAGCGCTCAAATGTGAGCAAAAGCCTCAAAGAAAATTTCAAATCATAATTAAAATCCCCCCACTAACAAAATTTACTAGATAGAAGCAGAACTTGGCCATTAAAAATAAAATAAAAAGATTGTCTTGTGAAAAGGAGAACATCTGGGCAGTTTGGTGTAGTGGTAAATGTGTATCTGAACTGTAATGTATCCAGTCCAGGCCACATGGCCGGCTTGGGCTCCACCCGGTCAGACACAAACGACGAGCTTCGCTCCAAGAGACAATGGACTATGTGGATCCTAGCCCGCTCCAATCGGGGCTGGGTTCCCGGCCGAGAGCCTATGGGACTCTCGGCCACTGTAAATAACCTATAGGGAAGTAGGGGTGTGTTTTGGGTGGCAGTTTCTCGGGGTATATAAGCCGGTCTGCGATCCGACCAAAGTTGTCTTGTTCCTGATCGAATAAAGTACGCTTTGCTGAAATCACTCTCCGTCTGTGTACTTTTCACGAACAAAAGCTGTATGCATGTATAGTGCCTGCTTAGTCTATACATAAGAACATAAAAGTTCTGTTGAATCAGACCAGTGATCCATCTAGTCCAGCATTCTGTCTCACACAAAACACAATGGTCAACCAGTTCCAGATGACACGGAGGTCTTCCCCTTATGTTGCCTCCTGGCACTGGTATTCAGAGGTTTACTGCCTCAGAACATGGAGATTCCCTGTAGTCATGGCTGGTAGCCACTGATAGATCTCTTCTCCATGAGTCTATCCAATCTGCTTTTAAAGCTGTCTATGTATGTGTCTATTGCCACATGCTCTGGCAGCGAATTCCCGCATTCCACATTTTAATCACAATTTTATACCCTACATTTTGTAGGTCAAAAATCACGTGTCACTCCCATCTTCACACATTTTGTACACAATTCTGTTATTTGTTTATTCTAGGTACATATGAACGCATATGAACACGGGGGGCCTGGATCATGCCCTGGCCCCACTCATAACCTCCAGACATTTGAGAGTTCTATGTGCACAGAACAACACTTGTATACAGAATGCACAATCTAATAATTCCAAAGGTGTACTTGGAGTCTTGTGGTATATTAAAGATAAGGGTTTTTTTAAAGCATGATAGAGCTTGCTTTTTCTGGTGTATGTCAATGAATTTTTATTTATTTACTTTACATAGCCTACTTTTTTGTCGAGACTCAAAGCGTTGTAATACTTTTCTCACAAGATGACACCCCAGTACTTTGCATTAATGAATCTGGAATTGCTATCCACCTTCCTTCAGTTCTTTCATATTATTATTGCTATCAGTATTCATATTTTTATAATTTAGACAAACAGCATTAAAATCAACCAATTAAATTTCACAACAGAACTTAAAATATGGAAAAATATTTCCCAGTGTCTGTGGTATGAAGACATTTGTTGGTGTAGACGTGTTCTTGGTTCTTACATGCCCAACCGGATTTGTATCATCTTTGAGTGACCCTAGGGTTTTGTTGGGGCTGTGGTGGCTCAAGTGGTTATGAATAACTGTGTAAAGATCAAAGTACTGTTTGGGGCAGCAAACCCAAGATGCCACATATGGTGTTCTAACATATGGTGTTCTATCCTAAGCAAAGTTACATCCTTCCAGGCCGATTGACTTCAATGGATTTAGGAGGTGTAACTCTACTTACGATGGTACTGATAAGCAGCTTAAATAGTATGGGTATCTCGGAACTTCTGATACTTGTAGCTGGGATGTAAGTTCAGTATGTTAAACAGAACAGACACAGAGGAATGGAAACAGTTTTGGATGAATATTGGGGGTAGATAATTTTATCCTGAGGTTACTGATAAAGGCTACATGGTGCAGAAAGATGGAGGCACACTAGTATTATTGAACCAAAAAAGGCATAGAATCATGGCAAATGCTCCTAAAACATCCCTACATTAATTCTTTATCCAGAAACGCAGATGAATCCACTCTTGGATTTTTTTAATTACTGGCTTAGAATTCTTTCAGTGCAGACAGAGAAATTATCCAAACTTTGCCTACATGAGCAATGGCCTCCAGTTTTGCTAATACAAGGACTACCATCTCTTCCAATCCCACTCCCCAACCCTTCACTATTTACAAGGGATTTGTAATAAGTGCTGGTGACAGATTTAAATAACTACTGCTGTCAAAGGTTCACGGATTCTTTTCCCCAGTTTGCCTCAGTGCAACCTGTAATCTTTTACATTAGGTACAACATAACCTATTTAGCTTCCAAAGAACTCCTTGAATTAACCTTTCTAATAATGCAGCAGACAGCAATTTTTCTCATTTATAGATTTTTTATTTTCAGTATTAATCATTATATTACAGTATTATGATATTTGATGTATGAATAGAATAGATGAGTCTGGTCACTCTTTTTTATTCATTCATAATTATAGTGACCATGATATAGATCAGGAAACAATGCAGCAAAAGCCTAACATTATAGATTTCAGATTGCTAATTTAATGAAATGGCTCTATTTGTGCCATTAAGAATTTGAGATCAAACTCAC